TATCTATCTATCTATCTATCTATCTATCTATCTATCTATCTATCTATTTCCACTGAGTAATACTCCATTGTGTAAATGTACCACACTTTCTTTATCCATTGCTTGATTGAGGGGCATCTAGGTTGTTTCCAGGTTCTGGCTATGACAAACAATGTTGCTATGAACATAGTTGAGCAGATGTTCTTGTGTGATTGTACCTGTGTTGGGTATATGCCCCAAAGTGGTATTGCTGGGTCTTTATGTAGACCGAGTCCTAATTTTCTGAGAAATCAGCATACTTATTTCCACAACGCTGTACAAGTTTGCACCCCACCAGCAGTGGAGGAGTGTTCCCTTACTCCACGTCTTCTCCAGCATAAGCTGTTGTCAGTGTTTTTGATCTTAGCCATTCTGACTACTGGTGTAAGATTACCAGAGTTGTTTTGATGTTGAACATTTCCTCAAGTGTCTTTTGGCCATTTGAGATTCTTCTGTTAAGAATTCTCTGTTCAGATGTTACCCCATTTTTTAATTGGATTATTTGGTAGTTTGATGTCTGGTTTCTTGAGTTCTTTGCATCCTTTGGAGATCAGCCCTCTGTCAGATGTAGGGTTGGTGAAGATCTTTTCCCATTCTGTAGGCTGTCGTTTAGTCTTGTTGACTGTGTCCTTTGCTTTACAGAAGCTCCTCAGTTTCAGGAGGTCCCATTTATTAATTGTCGCTCTCAGTGTCCGTGCTCTTCTATGAGATTCAGTGTGGCTGGCTCTATGTTGAGGGCTTTGATCTGTTTGGACTTGAGTTTTGTACGTGGCGATAGATATGGGTCTATTTGCATTCTTCTACATGTCAACATCAACATTTGTTGAAGATGCTTTCTTTTTCCATTTTATATTTTTAGCTTCTTTTAAAAAAATCAGTTGTTCATAGGTATGTGGTTTAATATCAGGATCTTCGATTCGATTCCATTAGACCACCTTTCTGTTTTTATGCCAATACCAAGCTGTTTTCATTACTATAACTCTATAATACAGCTTGAACTCATGGATGGTGATGCCCTCCAGATGTTCCTTTATTGTACAGGGTTGTTTCGGCTATCCTGGATTTTTTGTTTCTCCATATGAAATTTCGTATTGTTCTTTGGAGGTCTGTGAAGAATTGTGCTGGGATTTTGGGGATTACATTGAATCTGTAGATTGCTTTTGGTAAGATTGCCATTTTTACTATGTTAATTCCACTTACCCATGAGTATGGGAGATCTTTCCATTTTCTGATATCTTCTTCAATTTCTTTCTTCAAAGACTTAAGGTTTTTGTCATACAAGTCTTTCACTTGTTTGGTTAGAGTTACCACAAGATATTTTATGTTGTTTGTGGCTATTGTGAAGGGTGATGTTTCTCTGATTCCTTTCTCAGCCCATTTATCATCTGTATAGGTGGGCTAATGTTTTTTTTTTTTTTGAGTTAATATTGTTTCCTGCTGTGTTACTGAAGATACTTATCATCTGTAGGAGTTCCCTGGTAGAATTTTTTTGTGGTCACTTACGTATACTATCTTATAATTAGCAAATACTGGAAGTTTGACTTCTTCCTTTCCAATTTGTATCCCCTTGATCTCCTTCTGTTGTCTTAATGCTCTAGCTAGGACTTTGAGTACTATATTAAATAGATATGGAGCAAGTGGACATCCTTGTTTTGTTCCTGATTTTAGTGAAATCGCTTTGAGTTTCTCTGCATTTAGTTTGATGTTGGCTGTTGTTTTGCTGTATACTGCCTTTATTATATTTAGGAATGTTCCTTGTAGCCCTGATTTTTCCAAGACCTTTATTATGAAGGGGTGGGGTGTTGGATTTTGTCAAAGACTTTTTCAGCATCTAATGAGGTGATGATGTGTTTCTTTTTTTTTCTTTCAGTTTGTTTTTATATTGGATTATATTGACGAATTTTCGTGTATTGAACCATCCTGCATCTCTGGGAGGAATCCTATTTGATCATGGTGGGTGATTTTTGTGATGTGTTCTTGACTTCAGTTTGCCAATATTTTATTGATTATTTTTGCATCAATGTTCATAAGGGAGATTGGTCTGTAATTCTCTTTCTTAGTTGTGTCTTTGTGTGGTTTGGTGTCAGGGTAGCTGTAGCCTCAAAAACAGTTTAGCAATGTTCCTCCTGTTTCTATTGCCTGGAATAATTTGAGGAGTATCGGGATTAGCTTGTCTTTGATATTCTGGTAGAATTCTGTGCTAAAACCATCTGGTTCTGGGCTTTTTTTGGTTGGAGGCTTTCAATGACTGTTTCTATTTCCTTATGGGTTATAGATCTATTTAATTTGTTTATTTGGTCTTGATTTAATTTTGGTATGTGGTCGAAGCACACTCTTGCAGATCAGACTGGCCTTGAACTCACAGAAATCCACCTGCCTCCCAAGTGCTAAGATTAAATTGTATGTCACCAATGCTAGGCTAGGGTTTTTAAAATTTTTTTTAATTGATATTTATTGAGCTCTACATTTTTCTCTGCTCCCCTCCCTGCCTCTCCCCTCCCCCTTCAACCCTCCTCCAAGGTTCCCATGCTCCCAGTTTACTCAGGAGATCTTGACTTTTTCTACTTTCTATTTCCCATGTAGATTAGATCTATGTAAGTCTCTCTTAGTGTCCTCATTGTTGTCTAAGTTCTCTGGGAGTGTGATTTGTGGGCCGGATTTCTTTGTTTTATGTTTAAAAACCATGTATGAGTGAGTACATGTGATAATTGTCTTTCTGTGTCTGTGCTACCTTAGTCAAAATAATGTTTTCTAGGGGTTTATTATTTTTAAGTTTAAGACCTGTACATATGTGCAACATGTATATGCCTTGCCTGACAAGGCCAGAAGATGGTGTTGGATCCCGGGAACTGTAGTTACACATTTCTGTGAGTTGCCATGTAGGTGCTGGAAACTGAACCTTGGTCCTGTAGTTCTCAACCACTGAGCCATCTTTCCAGCCCTGTATATAGTTTTTTAAAAGTATGGTTATATTGTGTGTTGTTGTGTGGTTCTCTTTGAGTTCAGTTTACTTGGAGTTTATTAACTGTATTAGAAATTGTTTTTTCTCTGTTTTTGAAAAAGGGTTTGAGCTATGTAGACCAGGCTGGCTCCTAGATACTGGAATTAAAGGCAGTGGACCACTGCCGGGTGGTGGTAGCTCACACCTTTAACTCTAGCACTACAGAGGTAGAGGTAGGCAGATCTCTGAGTTCTAGGCCAGCCTGGTCTAATGACCAAGTTCCAGGATAACCAAGGCTACACAGAGAACCTCTGTCTTCCAAAATAAAAACCACCATCAACAACAATAAAAAAAGACAAGCTATCATACCCATCCTTTTATAAAAAAATGTTCATCTATTCATTAGTCCATCCACCCATCCTTCCATCCATCCATCCATCTTGGGGTCTGAACGATGTATTCCTGGCTGACCTCAAACTCACAGAGTTCTGCTTGCCTCTGACTCCTGAAACTTAGGATTAAAGGTCTACTCAGCCTTTTTTTTTTTAAATTCATTGATTTTATTTATTTATTTTCTTTTATGTGCATTGGTGTTTTGCCTGCATGTATGTCTGTATGAGTGTGTCAGAGCTTGGAGTTACAGACAGTTGTTAGCTGCCCTGTGGGTGCTGGTAATTGAACCAGGGTCCTCTGGAAAGAGCTGTTAGTGCTCTTAACCGCTGAACCATCTCTCTCCAGCTCTCTAGTTTTGTTTTTTAAACTTCATATTTTTTACTCCTGAAGGGGGAGTGCCTTAGGGTTTCTTCTTTTGTTGCTTTTTAAAAGATTTATGTATTTATTATGAATACAGTATTCTGTCTGCATGTATGCCTGCATGCTAGAAGAGGGTACCAGATCTCATAGATGGTTGTGAGTCACCATGTGAATGCTGGGAATTGAACTCAGGACCTCTGAAAGAACAACCAGTGTTCTTAAGCTCTAAGGCATTTCTCCAGCCCTTAGTTAGGGTTTCTATTGCTGTGATGAAACACCATGACCACTGCAAGTTGGGGAGGGAAGGGTTTGTTTGGCTTACCCTTCCGTATAGTGATCATCATTGACAGAAGTCAGGACAGGAACTCTAACAGGGCAGGAACCTGAAGGTAGGAGTTGATGCAGAGGCATGGAAGGGTGCTGCTTACTGGCTTGCTTCCCCTGGTTTGCTTAGCATACATTCTTACAGCACTCAGGACCACCTGCCTGGGATTGGTCACACCCAGCATGGACTGGGCCTTCCCACATCAATTACTCACTATGGAAATACTCTACAGGCAGCCCTAGACCTTACTGAGGCATTTTCTCAATTGAGGCCCCTTCTCTCCAGTGACTAGCTTGTGTCAAGTTGCCATAAAACTTGGCAGCACAAGGAGGTACAGTGCCTCCGCTCTAGAACCTTTTGGTTGGGGCTTCAGAGATGCTTCAGCAGTTAAGAGCCTCTCTGGAGGACCTATGTTTGTCTCTAGCACACACATGGTGCCTCACAACCTTCTGTACAGTTTCAGGGGGTCCACCCTCCCCTCCTTGTAAAAATAATAATAAAAAGGAAGGCCTTTGGTTGATAATTGGACATAGGCTGTGCATGTTGGGTCTGACCTTACTTAGCAGTCATCCAGTGATTCCTTAGCCATGTAGAAGTTGGGATTTTACGTCTGTGGAAATGTGCCATCAGCCTTTGAAGATGGTTTGTTTTATTAAGTATTTACTTTCGGAGTCATACTTATTTAAGGCAAAATGTTTCTTTGTTTTGTTTTAAATAGAATTGTGTTAATACTTAATTTTTTTCCCTCTCCACTAGTAGTTCCAGAGAACTGCTGGTTTAGATTTTAGTTCTTGACGAGTTGGGAAAGCAGTGAAGAATGCTTAGACTACTTAACATTCAAATTGTAAGTAAAGCTTATTTCTGTTTGTTATATTTGTTTGGAAAACAGATTTTAGAAATAGTAACAGGGAGCTTTAGTATGATGGGATTGTGTTTTTTTTTTCTTCAAAAAAGTTTTATTTTTTTGTGTATACACTATTCTGCCTGCAACATGTATGCCTGCATGCAGAAGAGGGTACCAGATCTCATTACAGGTGGTCGTGAGCCAGCATGTGGTTGCTGGGAACTGAACTCGGGACCTCTAGAAGAGCAGCCAGTGCTCTTAACCTCTGAGCCATCTCTTCAGCCCCTTCTGTAGTCTTAAGATATAAACCCTTCCTTTTTAACTTTCTGCCTAAGATGCAAAAGAAGTTCTTGGAGAGATAGTCCTGTGGCTAAGAACACTTGCTGCTCTTTCAAAGGACCTGGGTTCAGTTTTTCACACCCACGTCCAGCAGATGTCAACTGTCTGTACTCCAGTTCCACTCCAGTTCCGGGACCTGACGCCCTCTTCTGGCCTCTGCATGCATTTGCATTCACATGGTGCACATACATATACTCAGGCACAAACACATACACATTAAATAAACAAAAATATGTATAAGATAAACTTCCTACTTTTTTCCAGGTACTTCATTTTATAGTAAACATTTACAGAAATTCGTTATTATTTATTTCTATTTGGTATGATGTAGTAGTCAGTTAGTATGAGCATAATATTAATAGAATAATTTTTTAGAACTATCGATTTCCTGCTGGAGCAACGACTCAGTGGTTAAGAGCCCTGGCTGTCCTTCCAGAGGACCCAGGTTCAATTCCCAGCACCCACATGGCAACTCACAGCTGTCTGTAACTCCAGTTCCAGGGATTCTGACACCACACACAGACATACATGTAGGCTAAATAAATTATAAATAAATACATTTTGAGAAAGGAGGAGGAAGGAAAATTTAAGAAGCCCCTCTGAGGTGACGTCTGTAAAGGCAGCAGCTGTGTAAACCCCACAGCCCAGGTTTAGCATCAGCGTGTTCATTACTTAAAAGAGTTTAAAAATTGCTTTTAAAAAGATTTTTTTGGGGGCTGGAGAGATAGCTCCGAAGTTAAGAGTACTGGCTGCTTTTCCAGAGGTCCTGAGTTCAATTTCCAGCAGCCACATAGTGTTTTACAACCATCTATCATGAGACCTAGTGCCCGCTGCCGGCCTGCAGGGATACGTGCAGACAGAACATTATATACATAGTACATAAGTCTTCTAAAAAAGATGTCTTTTTAATTACGTGTGTGTCTGTGTATGAGTGTGTGCTCTGAGAAGAGAGCGTTGGCTCTGCCTCCCTTGCTGGGATTAGAGGTGTGCGTGACCACTGCTGGGCTGAACTCATCACTTTTTCCCTTTTGGTTTTTCAAGACAGTGTTTCTGTGTAGTACTGGTTGTCCTGGAACTCACTCTGTAGACCAGGCTGGCTTCAAACTCACAGAGATCCACCTGCCTCCGCCTCCCAAGTGCTGGGATTAAAGGTGTGCCCTACCACCTCCTGGCCGAATTCATCACTCTTAACCAATGAGCTGTGTCTCCAGCCCAGATTAAAATAAAAATCTGGCCAAGCATTGGTGGCGTTCACCTTTAATCCTGGAACTCTGGAGGCAGAGGCAGGTGAATCTCTTTGAGTTTGAGATAGCCTGATCTACAGAGAGAATTCCAGGACAGCCAGAGCTATACAGAGAAACCCTGTCTCAAAAAAACAAAACAACAACAAAATCTGTTAAAATGTTCCAGGTATAACCAGGCAGTGGTTCAGGCCATTAATCCTAGAACTCTGGGAGGCAGAGACAGGAGGATCTCTGAGTTCGAAGGCAGCTTGGTCTATAGAGCGAGTTCTGGGAGAGGCTCAGAAGCTCCAGAGAAACCCTGCCTTGAACCAACCAAAACAAACAAATTCTGGTGTAATATTGCATCTCCAAAAAAAGAAAGAAGCGCTAATATTATGTATATGGGTGTTTGGCCTGTATGTACGTCTGTGCACTGTGTGTGTGTGTGTGTGTGCCTGTTGTAGAGGCCAGAAGAGGGCGCTGGATCCTCTGGAACTGTAGCTATAGATGGTTATGAGCTGCCAAGTGCATGCTGGGAACTGAACCTGGGTCCTATGGAAGAGTAGCCAGTGCTCTTAAGTGCTGAGAAATCTCTCCAGCCTACTGAAGTTTTAGCATTATGTCTTTTATAATACAGTACCCATCCTTATACAATAGCTTGGTAAAATATTGTTTGATAAGTTAATGAATTTGAATCTCAAATTTTTAAGTAGAGTGTTGTTTAATTCCTTCTTTTGACACAGACATAGAGGCTTATATCCTTTTAAATTAAACATTTAAATTGCTTTATATCTTAACTATATGTTTTTAACAATTTCAATTTTTCCTCTTTTTAGACCCTCTGGTTTATCATCTTTAGAAGACTGGACTTCTGGATGTCTAATATACTGCTTCTCTGTTGAATTAAACCATGAAAATGAAACCTATAGCCCTGGCCATCATCTATGAACTCTAATTACATTGATTCGTACCATTTGATACTTCCTCAGGGAATAAAAAATGACATCGGCAGTGGTTGACAGTGGAGGTTCTGTTCTGGAGCTTCCCAGCAATGGAGTAGAAAATCAAGAGGTTAGGCATTTACTGTATTTTATCTCTGTTTTGTTAATAGAAATCAATGCATGAGTTAATCTTGACATAAATAACAGAAACGGGTATTTGAGAGTAGAAATGTACAGTTCAGAAAATTGTACATGTGTTTTTATGTCAGTTAGTAACAGTGAACGGAATGATGCAAGATGTGTGTGCTAGGATGAATTTGGAAGAGGAAAGAGAAGGAAAGAAGGATGTTACATTAGTTTAGATAACAGTTAAGTTTCTGGCTGGGTGGTGGTGGCGGCGGCAAATGCCTTTAATTCCAGCACTTGGGAGGCAGAAGCAGGTGGATTTCTGTGAGTTTGAGGCCAGATTGGTTTATAGAGAGAGTTCCAGGACAGCCTGCATGGTTGCACAAAGAAACCCTGTCTGGAAAAAAGGAAACAAAAAGTTTCTGATAATATCTATTTTCTTAGATTATGGAGAATGAGAAATAATGTATCTAAATACCTAAACTGCAGTCATCTTAAATTTAGAAGCTTTTCTTTGCTTTCAGTATTATCTTTATTTCTTATTCTGTTATGTCTAATTCAGGATTGATATTTTAATCTAATATGTACAGCTACTTATTTAACTAGAGAACAATGTTTTGGATTTGATGCAGGTGGATTTTGAGTCTCTAAGTGTGTTGTGTTGTTACAGATAGATAGCACTGAAGGAAGAGGCAGGGGCAGAAAGCAGATATTCTCCTCTGCTTCTCTTCCCGCCCTTGGGTAGAGACTGAGTGTGGAAACAATGCAGGTGTAACAGAGCTGCCATGCAGGTGTCTGGTTAGCGGCACCGCGGGAATGGACGGTTGTCAGTGTCTTGGAAGTCTCTTGTCTGTGAGATGCTGCTGTCACTGGGTTTGGTGCCATGATAAAGAATGGATCAGGTCCTGCCTGATAACAGTGAGGATACTTGTGTGTGTGTGTGTGTGTGTGTGTGTGTGTGTGTGTGTGTGTGTTGTGATCTGGAGCATTTTCCTTGCTTGGTGTCTGTTCGGTCTGTATGACACAGATCTACTGTGGGAAGACTCATGGGACATACTTTTCTTTTGTCAGTGGTTTTGCTAAGTCCTACATGTTCCCTTTGTATTTAAAGACTACTTCTAAAATGGGTCAGAGTCCATTAGAAGAAGCCCAGGTTAACGTCTTCCTTTAAGATTCACTTAACCCCCCCCGCCACCTGCCAATTCACTTTCTGTGTATCACCTCCACGGTATGAGTCACCAGAGATCAAGGCCAGGGTGGGCTCTCATCTGATATCGCCCAATGCTGCTTCTCTTCCAAATTACTTTTCTGTGCCCTATAGCTTTGCAGTGTTGGTATTTACCATGTGAGGAGAGCTGCCATGGACAGTGGCTTTGCAGAGTATATTTATGTTTTACTGATTAAAAAGATAACAGTATGAGGGACAAGGATCTAGGTTTGTTTCCAGAAGCTTCCTTTACTTTTTCCTCCTTTACATGCAATCCCAAGGATTTCTGGTCAGAACATAGCATAGAGGAAAAAATTGTGAATTTATCAAGGTATTATTGACTAATGATTAATGTGGTATAATAGGGCAGTTATATTCTATGGAAGGATGTCAGAAGAAGCCAGCCTGCTTAGTGGACATTTGAAGTGCTGTAGTACCAGTGTGGGAACAGCTTTCTGTTCAAATTCCACAATTATTCATCAGTCCCTTTAACAGTTATTAGCCAACTACTTCATTATGGATCAAATGCCTTTCTGTAGACCAGGCTGGCCTGGAACTTACAGAGTTTCTCCTGCCTCTGCCTCCTGAGTGCTAGGATTAAAGGTGTACGCACCACATGGCCAGTATGTGATCTTAACTACTCAGCAATTTCTCTGGCCCTAAGAGAAGATTCTTAGTTAAATGGTATACATAATCCATTTTTGATAAAATCTCTTACTTTTTAGATGTTATATCTCTGGACTCATATTTAATAGTTAAGTATTGGACATTTTCTTTAAAATTAAAGGCAACATGCTATGTGATGACAATACTTTAAAAGTCAGGATGTTAATGCACATCTGTAATCCCAGTGTGTGGAAGACTGAGGCTGGCGGCTCATGAGTTCAATTCCAGCTTTGACTGCATATTGAGACACTTTCTCAAAAAACAAAACCAAAAAGTGCTCAGGAGGCAGAGGCAGCAGATCTCTGAGTTCAAGGCCAGCCTAGTCTACCTAGTGAATTTCCAAGAAAACTAGAACTACACAGAAAAACCCTGTCTTGAAAATAACCCAAAACACAACAAAACAAAATCAATGTCTTGAATGAAGCAATGATTGAGACACAACAACAACATCTCAAAACAACAATAGCAAAAACAAAAAACAGAAACCCTAAACCTTTAAACAAAGCACTTCACTTTACACTTGGATGGGAAGCTGGGAGGATCCATGCTGTGGGTAATGTCATTTTTTTCAGCAGCTATGCACACAAGCTGACAATAGAAATAGCTCTCAACCCTTTGAAGTAAAATAGTTGTTTATTTCCCCTAACACCGTGTGTGCACAGAGCTGGTGAGATGGCCTAGCTTGGAGGGACTTTTGCTGAGCCTCATGGCTGCAGTTTGATACCCAGGTTACACATCGCGGGAGAAGAGATTTGACATCTGACTCTGGCCGGTGGTCCTCTAACCTCCACATGGACAACACACACACACCCACATATAACTAAACAATTGTAATTTAAAAATCCGTAAAATTAAAAGTATAGTTTAGACTGGTATTCATATTCACACACTAGAATATAATGTCTTAATTTTTATTTTTGTTTTTTGAGACAGGTTTCCATGTAGATCAGTGTGGCCTTGGTCTCAGTATATATATATACATATATATACTTGGCTACATACTTAAAAATATATATATTTTAAGATTTATTTACTGTGTATACAGTGTTCTGTCTACATGTATCCCTGCATGCCAGAAGAGGGCACCAAATCTCATTACAGATGGTTGTGAGCCACCATGTGGTTTCTGGGAATTGAACTCAGGACCTTTGAATAGTACTCTTAACCGCTGAGCCATCTCTCCAACTCCTCCAAGAATAATCTTAAGCTTCTGACTCTGTGTCTCTTCTGAAAGCTGAGATAACAGGCATGTCCCACCGTCATGTGGAGCTGGGCATTGAGCTCAGGGTTTACTGCATACCTGACCATAGCCTCAGCTCCAGTCGCTGAGGTTTTCTTACTGTATATGTGTGAATGTTTTGTCTGCATGTATGTGTGTGCACTGAGTGCATGCGGATACCAGAAGAGGACATCCAATCCCCAGGGACTGGAATTACAGACAAGTGTGAACTATCATGTGGGTGCTGGAATTTGAACCAGGGTCCTCTGCAAGAGCAAACAGTGCTCTTAACCACTGAGCCAGCTCTTTAGCTTGAGTTTTGAAAATTTAGAGCCTTTATAAGGACTATGTGTGCTATTTGGTTTGCATTGTATAGTGTTGAGAGGCAAGAATATAAAGTCAGATACCTGCAGTTGAGTGCCTTCTTCAGGATGCCAGGGTGAGCGCCACTCCTCCGCTCCAGCTCTGCACTCACGCGTGCCGCGCTCTACTTTGCAGCTGCTCATGGTGGAAGTGTTTCCACTTAGCTTCCAGTTACGCGGTGTGGTTAGATCATTTATAGAACTTTATAGATGACATCTACTTCCAGAGAAACACAATGGGAGTTTTTCCCGTTAGGATCGTGATGGAATAGCAGAGACCAGACTGCCAGCACACACAGGAGAACAGCGTATGGTGACATTGTGTTCCCGGAAGACAAGGGGCATTTCTGAGACTGCTCTGGTTGGTTGCTTTTTCCTTAGGAAAAGGGAACGGAAAGTGAAGTAAACTGCATCTTGGATCCAGGAAGCAAATCTTGAAGAGGTTCAAATACAATCCTATGAAGGATGCAGTATCCAAAAGGCAAAGAAACACCCTTCCCAAAGAAAGAGCTGCATGTATTACTGGGGCTCCTGTCGTCTCTGACTGGAACACACAGTGGTTTAGGCACAGCAGACTCCAGGAAGCACAACAAGGACTGGCCAGAAAGGCACGAACTCAGTTCCTGTGTCGGAGGGCACTGGCTTTCCAGTCCTTGCTGAAAGCCCATTAAAAACCCCCGTAAGGGGCATGTCTTATGTAGCAGAGCTAAATCATCTCTAGACTTAGGGATAGTTGAACTTTACCATGGAAAAGTTTAAAGTAGGCCTCAAATAATGATTTAGGGCCTAGGAGTGTACTTCTCCAGCCAGTGCAAGACCACACTAGATCCCTGATACTGCTCACCTCCCTGAAAAAGTCTATCTATACCATAGTACTTACTTTCTTTTAATATTTTAGTCATTAATATTAAATATTAAATATTTAATATTTAGTCTTTTAATATTTTGAGTCAGGGTCTCACTGTATAGTGCTGGCTGTTCTGGAGCTCGCTTTGTAGGCCAGGCTGGCCTTGAACTCACAGAGATCCACTTGCCACTGCTTCCTGAGTGCTGGAATTAAATGTGTGTATTATTATACCCAGCATGTAAAACCGTTTTAAAATTACTCAGCAGAAATAAAAATTATTGTGCAGTTTATAATGTGAAATAAATGCATGACAGCAGAATAAAGGATGTGGGCAGAGAATTAGAATAATACTGTTATGAGATTCTTATATTAAATATAAAGTTACATAATATGAATTGACAAATTAAAAAGCATGGTATAAAATGTAAAGCAACCATTAAGAAATTAATTAAAACATATCTGATAAAGCCAATAAAATTGGAACTTAAAATACTCAGGACAGTTAGCAAAGAACAATATGATAAACTTAATTTTATTGATATTAAATGTGCCTCACACACTCAAATAAGGAATAGGTAAATAAATATATGTAAAACAATAAAAATGAAAACTTAAGGATCTGATACATGATAATTACATCTCTTGGGAAGGTGAGGCAAGAGACTCATTTGTTCAGGGCTAGTATGGGTCATGTACTATGACT